GAACTCAGTGCTTTGTGTTTGATAGGCCACTTTGGCCATAATGTTTATAGCTTTAGTTAGGGTCTCATGATGTTATGTCTGGGATGGCTTACACCTTAGTCCTTCTCATTCTGCTTCTCTCACAGCCGGGATGACTTATTAAGATGACGGAGTTGTGGGAATTTTTACCTAGGTGGTCTTTAAACCTTGATCTTTGCTTCACAGAGGCCACTATGTGGTCCAAGTATGAGCCACTGTGTCTGGCTTCTAAATCTAATATTGTTGTTGAAAAGGCATGGTTATCAATCCAAGATCTAATTTTTTAATTGAAAATAATACTTGGCTTTTACTTTACAATATAATTTGAATTTTTATTGTTAGTATGTAATAATTTAATACGTATTTTTTAAATGTGTAAACAAACTACACTTTAAATTATTAACTGAGGAAGAATAAGGAAATTGCTCTCTTTTTTCTTATATTCCTACACTAGCTGCCTAATTTCTTTTTTCTCTCTTATCTCTAACTGGTGTGAAGTACAAGCCTAAACTTGGTTTTCTCTGCACTTGATATATACCCGGTTCCACTACTGGCTCCCATGTTTAAATCATGCAAATATGAGTGCTGACAACAATGGGAGCACACGTCAGTTCAGTGTAGGCACACTGCTGCTCAGAGAATGCATAGCAGTGGTGTGGACTTCTTAGACTTGCAAATTGCTGTGCTCCACCCCAGCTTACTCAATTTAAACAACAGACCTGCATTGAAACGTGAGCTAGAAAATTCAAGGCTCCTTACCATTTGAGCAGTACTTTCTTAAGGTGGATTCAAATTCTGTACTCATGACTTTGAACTCTTCTTGAATTTATATGTGGAACTTACAGTTCTCCCAGCAACTATTGAGAATTCCTTTAGAAGGCCTTGCCCCATTTCTGTCAAGGAAGTGACATTAACATAGATAACAGCAAGGTAGCAGTGGAAAGGTATATTTGCCTGAGCAAGTCATATTCTGATAGAGCTCCAACTCACTGGATTTTAGCGAACTGCATAAGGGATATATATGGCTGTCCTCAAATTTTAAGTTCTGTTTTATAATGAATCATGTGTAAATGGGAGGAAGAAATTAAAGGAGGCTTTTTCTTTTCTTTTCTTTTTTGAGACTGGGTCTTTCTTGGCCTTGAATTCATGATCTTTCTGCTTCAGCACTGCTGAGATTATATTTGTATAATCTTCCAATTGGGGGATTATAGGTGAATGCCACCCACACCACTGACCTGTTCCTTAGTTACATACTAAGTCTAAGATTTATCATGAATATTTAAAATTTCAAGATTGCTAAATCAGTTATTTTTCCTTCCTAGGATTTCGATGGACGACCATGTATAGTTTGCCCCTGGCATAAATACAAAATTACTTTGGCAACAGGAGAAGGATTATACCAATCTATAAACCCTAAAGATCCATCATCAAAACCCAAATGGTGCTCCAAAGGGATAAAGCAAAGGATTCACACAGTGACAGTGGACAATGGGAATATTTATGTGACTCTTTCTAAGGAACCCTTTAAGTGTGACTCTGATTTTTATGCCACTGGAGACTTCAAAGTAATTAAAAGTTCTTCCTGATAAAAATAGATGGCTATGAAAAATGTGTATGCTAGGAATATTTTAGAAACCTACCAACAAAGATGGATTTTTTTTTCCAAAATAGGTTTAAAAAAGTTAAATAGGAGAAAAAACATCCACATTTATTATAGCTGACTTTGTCCTGGGAAAGTTTTAATATGTACAAAGTAAAAATAGAGTGCTGACTCACAGCTTCATTCTTCCACTCCTTTCACTGATACATCCAAGGATTTTCTATCTCTCATATCATTATTTTTGCATCTTGATTGCATCAAAATCATCATTTTGTTTTCAGCCAAGGCAGATTCTTAAGGTAAGGAAAGCACACAGCAGATGCCCAGTCATAAGTGAGTTATTCCCCATCTAGTGAACCAAAGCACTTTGCTTATATGAAATTTTCAAATAAAGTTTCTAAAAATAATTTTAAGAGAACTTTGTGCATGTGTGCACAACTGTTTCCTGATCTAGATTTTGTTTCTCAGAGTTCACAGGCAGGGTTGATGTTCACCCTGGTTTTACCATGTTATTTATTTATGGCCAATTACTATTGTTACATTTAGAATAACATGGTGTGGGGCCTGTCATTGCAAAACTCAGCAGTATAGTAGAAGCTAGGAGTAAATAGGACCAAAAAGACTGAGTGCCTTGTGAATTTGCCAGGTGGATTGTTAAGAATAGAACCATATTCAAAGCATAGTAATCATCATGATTTATGACTGAACTAAGAGTCCAAACCTAGTACTTAACATTCTAAGGGGCCCACCTGGACTTTCTCCCTTGACTGAATAAATTAGTATGTAAACAGGTAACAAAGACTATGCTTACACACATGTCCAATTCAGTTGGATATAGGAAGCAAGAAAGTATAATACCTTTGTTACTCATTTCTCAGACTATTAACAGGCCAGGCTTCACTTTTTAGCATGCATTGTTTATAGCAGAAGCTATTTGCCAAATACAGAAATTATGCCATCTCTGTGGTAGGTAATTCAGCTTGTTCTGGTTAGCATCTGATACATATATAGTTATATATATAATATATATTTTATGTATATTTAGCATCTAATATATGTATCTCATTGGCTTCTGATATATATACATACACATACATACATATGTGTCATAATTACATATATTATATACTGTTATATTACTATTATATATATATATATATCAGAAGCTAATCCATGAGTGACTACTAATGTCTTCTCCCATGTCAAGAATTAAAAGTGTCTAGAAGAAGCTAAAGTACCTCCTAGAGACAAAAATAATGATCCTAGTTTGCAGAGCCAATTATGAAAGCATTGTGTCAGGGCAATATAGAGCAATATACTCTTGGTTTCTTATTCTAAATTTCATACTTTAAATCTGGAAATAAAGGTCACATTACTAGGTGTAGCAGTATTGATTGATGTCCTAGTTACTTGGAAGTCTGAGGCAATAAGAAAACTTCATCTAGGAGTTTGAGGCCCAAGTCACATTGCAAGACCCTCTCTCTTAATGGCAAACAAAACAAATAACCTCATCATGTCCTGTCTTCATATATGGAAATTTTCTCATCAAGTTTTAAAATACTGTTTGATAAACTGATAGCATCTGTGAATTCCAAGTCCTTCATAACTTTACAAGTGAATTATAAATAAGGAGACTCAAGCAGGATAGCCTGAAAACAGAAAATAAATATCTCTGAAAAAGATATAAAAGGAATATAGTTTTGTTTGTTTTTGGTGCTGGTTCTGGTACTTACACTCTTTATCTGCCCAGGTTTGGCTTTGAACTATAATCCTCAGATCTCAGCCTCCTGAGTAGCTAGGATTCCAGGGATAAGCCACTGGTGGCTGGTTGATATGTAGCATTTTTATAGGGTTTTTTTCTTTCCCAAATAAACAGTCAAAATAAGTCATAGAGTCATAAATGTATTATAAGGATGCCTATATTATGAATCATAGCAAAAAAAATTGTATGCCTGGTGTTAGTGGCTCATACCTGTAATCCTAGCTACTCAGGAGTCTGAGCTCTGAGGATGGAGATTCAAGAGTCTGTTATCTCTAGTTAACTACCAAAAAGCCAGAAAATAGCACTGTGGCTCAAAGTGGTAGAGCATTAGTCTTGAACATAAAACAAACTCAGGGACAGTATCCAGGCCCTGAGTTCAAGCCCCAGGATAGGCATACACACACAACATACCCAACAAACAGTGGATGGACTTGTTCATTAAAAATTTTTGGCTGACCACTGGTGGCTCACATCTGTAATCCTAGCTAAGCAGACTCAGATCTGAGGATTGCAGTTCCAAGCCAGCCCAGACAGAAAAGTTCCCTTGTGTCTCTTATCTTCAAAATACCACCTAAAAACTGGAAGTTGAGCTGTGACTCTAAGTGATAGAGTGCTAGTCATGAGGAAAATTGCTCAGGGACAGCATCCAGGCCCTGAGTTCAAGTCTTACAACCAACACATACAAAAAATAATATTGTATGTAGACAGAATTAGGCCCTGATGGCTCAAGCCTGTAATATAACTACTTGGGTAGCTAAAAACAGGAGATCTTGGTTCAAAGTCAACCAAGGCAGAAAATGTCTTGAGACCTCCTTCTCAAATCAACAGGGCACAGTGCATTTACCTGTCATCCAAGCTACATGGGAGGCTGAGACTAGGAGGATCATGGATCCAGGCCAGCTTGGGCAGAAAAGTCAATTGAGATTTAATCTCCATCAAGGGATATAATATACAGTAGTTTGTGCTTTTGATCCCATTGAGAAATTGAAATCTGAAGTTGGCAGATCATAGCTAATGCATACGAGAAGCCAGAATCTGTCTTAAAAAATAGCCGCTGAAAAGCAGGCAGGGGTTTTGACTCAAGTGGTAGAGTAATAGACCAACAAATGTGAAGCCCTGAGTTCAAACTCCAGTACCACTAAAAAAATATAAAAATTAAAATTAAAAATATTGACCAGATGGTGGTGGCTCATGTCTGTAATCCTAGTCACTCAGGAGGTTGAAATCTAAGGATCATGGTTCAAAGTAAGCCTGGGCAGAAAAGTGCATGAAACTTTTATCTCCATTTAACCAGCAAAAGCCATAAATACAAGTGTGGCTCAATTGGTAGAGTACCAAGATTTGAGTGAAAATGCCAAGTAAGAGCACAAGGCCCTGAGTTCAAGCCCCAGCCGTGGCACAAAAATAAATAACTGAGAATATTGTATAAGCATACATACATTTTGACATCAAGATTCATTTTACTTTTTCTGCCATGTTAAAACTAAAGAATGACAGTAGACGTTCTGCCCTCTCCTTTGGCTAAAGCAGAGCACCAGAAACTAGTTCCTGGTTTTGCCAGATGAAATGTGCCAGCAGGTAACTAAAGCTTTCTACAGTGATACTTGTATTCAGATTTGCTTATTCATTCATTTCGGCTGATTGGTCAAACACTGAATGTAAAACCTGGATCTTATTACTCCGCTTGTTGTCAGGAAGCGTGGGTTGATTTGAAACGTTGTCTGGCTTCTCTGGCAGTGACCTGTAAGGTTTTGCTTTGATTTCAGCTACAGGAAACACAGACTCTGGAAGCACAGGCTCAGAAAAGGCTTTTCTACACATTTCATTTTCTTGGTTTTGCCTTATGGATTCTTCTTCTTTGAAAATACTCTTTGCTTTCTCCAGCACAGTGTTAACACAGACTGCCTATGGAGTTAAAACATTTTAAAATGTTTTTGAGGTTATATACAACTACAAATAAAGTCAATATAGTGCTTAACATAAAATAGTTAATATATGTATTAATACACACAATAAAAAAGCATTTCCTTTCAGGAACTCCAGACACACAATAAGCATTCAAAGACTGATTTCCTGTTCTACATATATGAAGACACAATCTGAGCAGCAATATGCTTCAATAAAAATATGCTTTGCATCTTTGCTATTAGCTGTTTCATATTAAATAAAACTTTTTGTTTTCTTTTTGTTGGTTGTGGGGCCTGAACTCTGGTCCTGGGCGCTGTCCCTCAGCTCTTCAGCTCAAGGCAAGTGCTCTACCACTTGAGCCACAGAGCCACTTTTGGTTTTCTGGTGGTTAATTGGAAATAAGAGTCTCACAGACTTTCCCACCCAGGCTGGCTTTGAACCATGATCCTCAGAGCTCAGCCTCCTGAGTAGCTAGGATTACAGGCGTGAGCCACCTGCATGAAACTTTTTTTAAAGATGGAATTATTTCCCCAAACATGTTTCTATCTCCAAGTAGGGCTTTTTTGTTTTGTTTTTCTTCTTTCCAGCCTTTGTGTATACCTGCTTATACAATAGAAGGACATGGGGAGGAGGAGGGAGAGAAGATGGGAAGGGATGGGAAGGGGAAACAAAGGAGGAGGCAACAATGCTTGATAAGAAATGTACTCATTATCTTGTCCATGTAATTGTTGCCCCTCTCTATGGTATTTTCACAATAAAAATTAAAAAAAAACAGTAGAAGGACATAAACATTTTCATGAGAAATGAGTAAGCTAGTAGATAAATGATTTCTAAACATTTGATCCACTTTCCCTGTTTGACAAAATGAGCCCCAAGAAAAGGACTCAAATGAGTTTTTCTTTCTTGCTATTGTTTCTAACATATTTATAAGATGATTTCTTTGTTGCTTTGTATGTCCCTCCCCCAGGGTATAACCCCTGTTTTCACTGTATTTGATGTTGGTAGACTTCATGGAGGGGAAGGAAAAAAACAAATTGTTTAAATAGGGATAAAGTTGGACCCATTGCAACAATGAGACGTACAAGATGCTATGTCAAAAAACGAACTTTACAACTTTGGCGGGGGGGGGGGGGGGGGGGGGGGGGGGGGGGGGGGGGGGAGAGGAAGGGAGGACAAGGGTTGCAGGGATGGTAAGGGGAAACAAAGGAGGAGGCAACAATGCCTGATAAGAAATGTACTCATTACCTTGCTCATGTAATTGTAGCCCCTCATTACCTTGCTCATGTAATTGTAGCCCCTCTGTACATTATTTTCACAATTTAAAAATGCCATTCAATGCTTTAAGGAGAAGACTAGTCAAAATTAGAGAGAAAAATAACTTCAAAACATGGAATCACAAACTATATTCATTAAGCTTATCTGTAAACTAGTGATGGAGATAATCCAAGGAGTTAAGGCAACCAAGGAGAATAGAAAATTCCATGAAACATAAGAGAACCTAAATTAGTTTATTTTTACAAAAGAAATGCCTCAATATGACATAATATAGCCTATAAACAGAAGGCTTCTTTTTTCTTCCCTTCCTTCCCTCCCTTCTTTCTTGTATTCTGAAATCACACAAATACTAATACATTTTAATTGTACATATCAATGTGTTTCACTGTATCATTTCTATATCTGCATATATCATACAGATCTATCCTCCCAACTACCCTCTCCCATGCTCCCCTTTATGTATCCTCCTCCCTTTGACCCCTTACTTCTCTTACTAGTCCCCCTATACTTTCAGATCTACTTTAAAAAAAATCTAATATCCACATATGAGAAAACATATGCAAAATTTTCCTGTATCTGACTTTTGCCTAACATGATGACCTCTAGTTCATTTGCTTGCAAATGACATGACTTTACTCTTTTTGATTGATATGTATTTTTACCCTGTTTTTGGAAATCCATCTGTTTTGCGGTACATAGACTGATTCTATAAAACTACAAAACTACAAAACACATGCAGGTTATCTCCTATGTGTTCTGACTTTGTTTCTTTGGCACATATTCATGGGGAGGGGATCTCTGGTTCATATGATAGCTCGATGTCTATTTTTTGAGGAATCTTCACATTTTTTTGAGGACTCTTCATATTATTTTCTATAGGAGCTCCACTAATTTACATTCCCACCAATGATAGGAACAAAAGTTCCTTTTTTCCCTACATCCTGGACAGGATTTTGTTTTTTTGGTTTTTTAAAATTAAATATATATTTTTATTGTAAAGATACTATACAGAGGGGCTACAGTTACACGAGTAAGGTAATGAGTACATTTCCTATCAAGCATTGTTACCCCCTCCTTTGTTTTTCCCCTACCATCCCTTCCCTCCCCACCTCCCCAATTACTCCCCAATTACTCCCTCCCCACTCCCCAAGTTGTAAAATTCAAAATTGAAGTTTAATTTGGGTTTTAGTTTAGTTTTTGTTTTGCCACAGCCATTTCATCCTATTCATTTCCTTTGCAGTCTATTTATATCAGAGCTCAGTTGATGTCAATTTTGTATTTATATTTAATATCAACTTGCAAAATATTTGATTACTTTATTTTTAACTGAAGTGTTTAGTGTTCTTTTTTTTGGCGGGGGGTCCAGTTATGGGCCTGAACTCTGGGCCTGGGCACTGTCCCTCAGCTCTTCAGCTCAAGGCTAACACTCTACCACTTGAGCCATTGCTCCACTTCCGGCTTTTTTTTTTCTGGTTATGTGGTGCTGAGGAATCGAACCCAGGGCCTCATGCATGCAAGACAAGCACTCTACCACTGAGCCACCTTCCCAGCCCCTAACTAAAGTGTTTAAAACTAAGTTCTACTTTTATTTTTTTTTTCAAGAATATTGTGGCTACTCTTGTCCTTTTGTATTTCCCTGTACATTTCAGAATTAGCTGGTTAACTTTCACATAGAGACACACACTTGCTTGGATTTTAATTGCACGGAACCTATAAATTGTGGGAAACTTTTAACACTGTTTTGTATCTCAGTAGGATAAAAGTAACAAAAATGTATAATACCCTCTGACAAAATGATAAAAATTATTGACAGAAATTTTAAAAGTCCAAAATGAATTCCTGATGTGTCATATTCGTTGACTGACTAGAGAAAAGATTTATTCTATTAGTTATAAAGATATCTTACAAAGCTCCTGTAACATAGTTCTGTACTGGTATAGGAGTAGATGAACAAAGGCAGAATAGAGTCTATAAACAGACCTACATAAAAAGAACACCCAATTTATTAAATAAAAGTGTTAGTGGTGTTAGAAAAGGACTTGTTCCTGATAACCTGAATATTTCTTAATTTATCCATGGAGAAAATATGTGGCCCTTACTTACCAATTTTATAAGTACTATAATCTAAAAGTAAAGGCAAAAATAATACACCTGCTAGAATAGATAGATGAAACTGTTTTCATGACCTTGAGTGTAGGTCAGGATTTTTTTTTTAATTCACACAGAACACACATATACACACACCATCTCCAGCATAACATGTAAGAATATGTTAAGTTAAACTGCATTAAAATTAATAACTTCTGCTCTTAATGAATAAAAAGAATAAAAAGTAAGCCATAATATTAGAAAAAATTCCTCACAAAAATCAAAGAAAGACATGCTCTTGAATATATATTAAAAGTCCAAGCAATAATCTTAAAAATTAGATATCTCTCAATAGGAAAATGAAAGGGACTTTAACTGAAATTCATTGACACTATCAAAATATCCTACTAATGTCTGCAAAGATAATCAATCTCATTAATTAGCAAGGAGATGCAAATTAAAGCTCCAATGTTATATAATACCACCTTCCCACAGAAATACTAAAATGGGGTTGGGAGCATGACTCCAATGGTACAGTGACTGCCTAGCCAAGAATTAACCTGGTATCACCAATGAAAAATACTTAATATGCAAATTATTGACAATATTGAATGTCAATGGTGATATAGAACAACTAGGATTCTTATTCTAGAGTGAGTGTACATTGTTAAAAAAAATTAGAAAATGTTTGAAATATCTATTGGAGACAAACACACTTACAGCCTGCAACTTCACCAAGAGATATATACAGGACATTTCCAATTACCGTATATAATGTAGAGCATTGTATTTACACACAATTAAAAAATTCAAACATTTTATGATATTACAAGCTAAAATAATGGCTGCCTTTAAAAGGAGAGAAGCGATTGCAAGGTAGCAAGAAAGAGTCTTATTTCATGATGGTAATATCTTGTTTCTTAACTTCAGTTCTGATTAATAGATTAGCCAGGCACTAGTAGCTCACACCTGTAATCTTACTTACTTAGGAGGCTGAGACCTTGGAGGATAACATTTCAAGGCTAGCCAGGGCAGAAAAGTCCATAAAACTTAATCTTTAGCTAACTAACAAAAATCTGGTCAACAGGTGTGGATTACGTGGTAGAGTGCCATCCAGGATCAAGAAAGTGAGCAAAACCATGAGTTCCTGAGTTCAGGCACCATTATTAGCATGCACACACACACACATCATGATGGATTGTGATAATTCATCAAGCTGTGAGCATTTTGTACATTAGTTTAAAAAATAAAACACAATTGACTATTAAAAGGAAATAAAACCCTTATAATTGATAAACAAATTTCATACTTTTGTACTACACAGCACTTGTTACCACATATTGGTCACTAATACTTGTGTTCTCTGAAGTCAGAGACCCACCGTGGTAGAATACTGAACTAAATCCATCAGGGATTACTGGCCAAAACAAAACAAATGCAACAACATTAAAGCAAAAACTAAAAATGTCCTGACATAGGTGTTCAAATATTGTAATCAATTTTTGATACAAAGTAATTTGAGTTATTTAAGCAAATTTCTGGATTGATTTGACTCTCAGAAAAGTAAATGTCTAATATGAAACTATACTGTATAGCAAGCTATACCGTAGCTATAGTTATACAGAAAGTTAGCTTACAAATAGTCCCATTAAAGATAAACACTGTACAGTATAGTGTGGTGTTCTCATAGCACATAAAATAAGTATATTTTTAAAAATAAGTATATTTATTAAGGTATATTTATTACTAGATTTAAGTGATTTTCTTAACTTACCAAATAGACTAGTGCTGCATAGGAAGCATAGATTATGCTAGTTAAAGCAGCTTTTGCTGGAAAAGAAATGATTTCAAACAAAGAACCCCTTCTGACCTGTAAAAACAGAAATTATTTTTTATTAAAGTAAAAATTTTCAATATTATATTTTTAATACTACTATAAAATGAAAAATATTTTCTAAAAAAATGACATCAATGTCCAAACTCTTTGTTTTTTTTGCTATTTGAAAATATATTTGTTTACTGTTCTCAACAAGAAGATACTTCCTTTTACTAATCAAAAGCTTGGACAAATCTATAAAATTCTTGCATTTATGAAATCTAAATTATTTTCATGATTATGAACTATGCTCACTAGGAGGTGCTTCTTGTGTAATATTAGAAAGATACAGTCTTTGTTCAGATTCATGTAATCATTCTTTACTATTCACATTTAAACAAACAGCAATCAAAATACTAAGCATTTCCTAGAGATTAATGAGCTGCTTGGAAATGTTAACCATGAGAAGGTAAAGGCCAGAACTGACATTAGATGGAGGAAAAGTTTGTGCCCAAAATGAATTTGCCTCCCAGATGTTTCTAGTTTCTGGTAATAAGAGTTCTTGCTTTAAAACATCCCCATATAATATATTCAGTTAAAGAGACACATTTTTTCTTTACAGGCCACCTTTGTTGCCCATTAGGAAAAACATCCCTTCCCATTCAGCAGTAAAATGGCAGTTAGCCATGCTTCTCCAACGAGCCAAACCACTCAGTCCATGGCCTCAATGAACTTCCAAATGGTCCAGGCTGTAACTAATAAAATCATGTAAATGCACCATAGAAAATGTGCAAACACTAGAAAGAATAGTGTATACGTCTTCATTAAAAAGTTATTTAGGGCTGGGATGTAACTCAGTGGCAAAGTGCTTGCCTAGCAAGTACAACGTCCTGGGTTCAATCCCTAGTACCAAAAAAGAAAAGACAAAAAAAAATACAGTTTAACCCCCCCAAAATACAGTTAAAAAGTTATTTATAGCCTTGGGGGGCTGAAATAAAGCTCAGTAATAGAGTGCTTCCACAGTTTGATCCCCAGCAAAGTGTGTATGTATATATATATATATATATATATATACATATATATATAAAATATACATATATATCATATTTTTAATGCATGTGGGCATAATTCTGTTTAGAAAACTAAGAGCAATGAGGAAATGAGGCAAAGAGGATGGCTGAAGCCTAGGAGTTTAAGGCCAATCTAGTCAACATAGAAAGACCTTGTTTCAAATTAAAAAATGTATTTAAAGCATCAGAGAAATTCAATAACCAATGATAGAAGAATTGCTAGGTAATTATACTGTATCGGTTAAATATATGTTGTGCAGCCTTTATAAAAGGAGCTACAGCTGGTGACTCATGCCTATAATGCTAGCTACTCATGAGGCTGAAATCTGAGGATTGAGGCTCAAAGCCGGACCAGACAGAAAAGTCTATGAGTCTCTTAACCACCAAACAGCCCGAAGTTGAACTGTGGTGCTAGCAGTAGAGCACTAAGCCTTGAGCAAAAATCTCAGAGATAGTACCCAGGCTATGAGTTCCAGCCCCAGGATAGGCACACACAAAAAAGTACTTTTGAAGAACATATAATATCTTGCTAACACTTGTGTGGATTGTGTAACTGTCCCTTTCTATGTGCTTTTTAAGCCAAGCACCTGCTGTGACACATTACTAAAGTCCCAGATTCTTGGGAGGCTGAGAGAAGAGGATGGTTTGGGCCCACAGTTCAACCCCAGAAGTTCAAGACCAGTCTGGACAGCACAAAAAGATTCTCATCTTACATAAACAACAGCAAACAAGAACTATGTGTTTTGCAAATGTTCTATTCAGTTCTTTTAAAAGTCCTGTGAAATTGGTATTCTATCCACATTGCACAAATAGAGCTAATGGAAGGAGAAGCAGTAAAGCTAGAGTTAAAGCTTGGATCCTGTTGCAGGGCCTAAATGCTAGTGGTATCAGTAAGCTGTGTGGCTAACACAGCTGTGCTGCTTGGCATGCTTATGAAGAGTGCTAAAAGAAAATACTGAAATAGTGAAGATTTACCTCATGAGTTTGCTGTGAATATAATAAAATGCTAGGAAAGTACTTAGCAGAAGGCCTGCACATGCCTAGCAAGAAAGGACATGGTGGATATTATTTATGTCTTATGTGATAGGTAAAGTTCAAAATTGTAAGCATAACAAACTATTCCATTTCAAACAAAACCAGGCCAAATTGATCTATGTTGTTAGAAATCTAGAAAATGGTTGTTCTAGCAAGGATGAGAATTAGAAATACAGTTTTGTATTGTGGCTCAGATCTATAACTCTAGCTACTCAGGAGACAGAAATCTGGAGGATTAAGATTTGAGACCAGCGCAAACAGAAAGATTTAGGGGACTGCATCTCCAAAATAACTAGCAAAAAGCCACGTTAGAGGTGTGACTTGAGTATTGTACCAGGTAAGTGAACAAGCTGAGTAAATATAAAACCCCGAGTTCAAAACTTGGCACTGGCAAAAAAAAAAGTATTTTTTTTTCCAGTCCTGGAACTTGACATCACGGTCTGGGCACTGTCCCTGAGCTTCTTTTGCCAAAGGCTAGCCCTCTACCCCTTCAGTCAAAATGCCACTTTCCAGCCTTTTCTAAGTAGATTATTGGAGATAAGGGTCTCATGGGCTTTTCTGCCTGGGCTGGCTTTGAATCATGATCCTCAGTCTACGGCCATACCACCCTGAATGCACCCGATCTCGTCTGAAGCATGATCCTCGGATCTCAGCCTATGGAATAGCTAGCATTACAGGTGTGAGCCACCAGCACCCAGCAGGGAAAGGATTTATACATAGAATCTCATTATATTCCAAGTTCTGCTGTAATGGGTATATACATATATATATATATATATAGTTTCATTTTATTTTCTAACAAATCTACTAAATATGTATACAAAATTGAGAGATATTCTAGTTTCCCCAAGTGTCTAAGTTGAAAGAGCACATAGCATTTTCTTAAGTGAAATTGTTACATAAAAGTGGGCATAGAATCCTGTTGTAGTATGTTTTGTTTTGGCTTACTTTGCTTAGTAAATAAAGAAAAAATGTTTATCACAATTCCTTGCCTCTCTCTTACATGATTCATGAAGTGGAGAAAACAGGAATACTGTCCAGCTGCTAGCTCAGAGAGTGGGGAAGAGTCCATTCTTTTTCTTCAAGCTATACAAACTCCCCGATGTATGTGTACATAAGTAGGGAAATTTTAGTTCATTTCCTCCATAAGTCAACATGGAAAATTTCTCAAGAATTCATGGCTTTCATAAAGAATTTCCAGGAAATGGAGCAGTTTGTTTTTTGTTTTTGTTTTTGCCTCTTCTTGTTGGAAGCATCAAAATGACAGCATGGCTTTGAATCCAACTATAAGGAGATAAGCATACAAGGAGACCAGACACTTTGGGAGAAAGAAAAGCAGATACATTCCAGCAAAATGCCTCCTAGCAGAGTGGAAAGATTCATGAGTCTGTGAATACATAAATGCATAATGGGAAGTCTATATTCCTAAGTAGTAAGTAATCTATTAAAAAAGAAAAGTGGTGTCTGCATGAGAAAGTAGTTTACTTCATCTTTCTCACATTCAGTCCTTCGCCTAAAGGTAATTAGAACTGATAACCTTCAAGATGAATTTTATGTAGATGATATGTAATATGCTTGTGAATAATTAATGTATTGCATTGCCTAAGGGAGATTTTTTCAATGGTTTTAATAAATAACTTCTATTTCTGCAACAAATCATCCCTTTAGAAAATATATTTTCTCCAAAATTTATGTTGCTACTGGAAAACTGCCCATTTCAACTTTATGACTCACTTGCAATACATATTTTTCATATTATAAACCACTACACTTCATTTTTGGCTTACTTTTAGCAGGAATTGTGCATGGTAGAAACTGAAACAAATAAGAGAAGCTTGATAATTAGGAGTCTTTATTTAGATTCTCTTGACTTAAGAAAATCCTCTGAACCTTGTTACATTAATTTCAATCTATTTGCATATTTGAGTTAAAGGCATTTTGGTATCAATGTTATGTGCATTTAATTCTCTTATAATTCTTTTTGCTTATAGTGTTCATATCTACAATGTGTGGATAATTGAACATTAAAAATGTTTCAGTATTTAAATTTGTCCCACATAATTCTGATTGCCTCATCTTATAAAAGTACCTATGTTGAAGGCTGGGAAGGTAGCTTAGTAGAAGAGTGTTTGCCTAGCATGCATGAAGCCCTGGGTTCAATTCCTCAGTACCACATAAAAAGAAAGCTGGGCACCAGTGCCTCACGCCTGTAATCCTAGCTACTCAGGAGGCTGAGATCTGAGGATCATGGTTCAAAGCCAGCCCGGGCAGGAAAGTCCGTGAGACTCTTATCTCCAATAAAAGCACTAGAAAACTGGAAGTGGTGCTGTGGCTCAAGTGGTAAAGTGCTCACCTTGAGCTGAAGAGTGCAAGGACAGCGCCCAAACCCAGAGTTCAAGCCCCATGACCGACAAAAGAAAAACAAAAACAGAAAAAGCCAGAATTAGCACTGTGGCTCAAGTGGCAGAGTCCTAGCCTTGAGCAAAAGAAGCTCAGGGACAGTGCTCAGGCCCTAATGTCAAGCTCCAGGACTGGAAAAAACAACAACAACAACAACAACAAAAAGTACCTATGTTCAAAAGTACATTTTTTTTTTTACCAATTATGTCATAAATCACAAGAGAGCCAAATACAAGCAGTTGAGAAAATAAAGAACCACTTATATATGGCCTGAATGTTGGAGAATTACCAGGCCCACCAGTTTAAATTATATAAAACTACCTAAAGAAGGGATACAAGGCAAGTCATAGAGTAAACTTTAACTCAAGAATTCACTAACAAATGTTGCAAGAAATTCTGACTTCTGATAATAGACAAGTTGAAGGGATGGGGTGGGGAGGAGTGTTTCCTTCAGGTTTACAAAATCTATATACCCATTTTCGTAGCAATAGGGGAGGGGAGTTGAGGGGAGGGGAGGGGAAGGGAGGGGAGAGTGATGGAAGGGAGGAG